ACTAGGAAATTATTCACCTTGCTGATGGTTTATTTGCATCTTCTTAAGCCATCAACCAGTCATGTTACACTTGCCATACGTGCATATTTTGCTTCTCAGAGGGAAAGAAGATTAGTTTTGCACAGAGACAGTTTGTGCAAATTACAGAGACCACTGAGGGGAAAAAACATCTGGACTAGAGACAAATCATTTCCAGGAGCTTGCGAATTCCTTATTAACATGTCTTATTGATTTGAGGCAGCCTAATTTGGCAAGGACAAAGAAGACAGCAAACCTTTTTTACATCCCTGTCTGGGAGGCATTTTAGCAGGGACGTGGCGGCACTGCGGGCTAAACTGCAGAAGCCTGTGCTGCAGGGTCAGAAGACCAAGCAGTCGTAAGATCGAATCCACGTGACGGAGTGAGCGCCCATCGCTTGTCCCAGCTCCCGCCAACCTAGCGGTTCGAAAGCATGCAAATGCGAGTAGATTAATAGGGACCACTTTGGTGGGAAGGTAACAGCGTTCCGTGTCTAAGTCGCACTGGTCATGTGACCACGGAAGATTGTCTTTGGACAAAACGCAGGCTCTATGGCTTGGAAACGGGGATGAGCACCGCCCCCTAGAGGCGAACACGACTGGACAAAAATTGTCAAGGGGAACCTTTACCTTTACCTGGGAGGGATTTTGCTTTTTTCCCTCAGCACGCACACCTACCAGCTACTTTCCTCTCCAGGGCTCTTTTCCGTTCTTTCTAGTCCTGACTTTCCTTGTACCTTTTCCTCCTGCTACTTCGTGTCATGCAGAAACATCCTCCATTTGGAATGGATGATGCATTGCCAGAGTGTTACACTGGAGAGAGAGAGAGAGAGAAATGCAAAAGTAAAAACATAAAAATAAAAACCGCTCCTCTTGTGTCAGTGTTGGGGGAGATGTATTCACGTTGCTGTCAGACAGTGTCAGATTGCTGGAGCAAGATGTGACGTCTGTTAACTTCCTCAGAATTACTGAATGCCTCTCAGAAGTTGCTCCCTTGACTTGTTTTTCAGTTTAAGTTGCCTTGCAGCTTTCTTTCTAGAAATGTCCTGAAAAATCTGGGTGGCAGAGACCATATTTCCATATCCCAAATAAGGCATCATTTAATCTTTTTCATGGGGTGGGAAGGTGGGAATGAAAAGAAATAATTCTTTAGTAGCTCCAGACCTGCACACCACAGCTGTAGTCTGTTCCATGGATAACAAGAGAGTACAATAACCAAAGGCAGGAGGGGATGGGGCGGATGCTGAAAGGAACCGTTTTGTTGTCGTTGTTAATTACCCTGCCCTGTCAATCATGCCGTGCACCCATGCTGAGCCGACAGGGACACATTGTGCGCAGCGCAGTGTGTCAGCGCCTTGGCAGCAACCCAGGACGCGGAGCTGATGGACAGTTTGCTCTGCTTATAGAAAGAGGGCATGCTTGGGGGGTGGGCAGCATCTCTTTTCTCAAAGGGCTCTTGACAGATAGATGAACCCTGCTGCAATTCTCTCTAGGCCTTAAGATGATGGCAGAACTGGAGCTGCAGCCTCCCATTCCCTTCTTCAAGGCCCTGTCCAGAGGGCCTTTCTTTCCACCTGCCCCTTCCCAGTCCCTGGATACTTGCCAAACTCCATCTTGAGAGCTGATCTCAACTTTATGGTTGGAATCATTTTTTTGTTTTGTTACAATCCTCCCCGTTTGTTGATGTTGGCTACACTTCCTTCCCCTGGAATATGTTTAGCTGTCTGGGCTTTACTGCTTCATACAAGGAAAGCATGTAACCCCTGGAATATGTTTAGCTGTCTGGGCTTCACTGCTTCATGCAAGGAAAGCATGTAATTTTAGAATTTCTCTCTCTCTCTCTCTCTCTCTCTCTCTCTCTCTGTGCGTCTTTCATAATCTTCTCCTTTCGTCCCCTCCAACTGAAAAATTGTCTTCTTTGTACAGAAACCTAGAATATAACTAGTTACAAATAATGGTCAAAATTCTGTTGGGGGTTTACACTGATGTTAAGTGTAACTGCATAACACACAGTGGTGAATTGTCACTTAAATTAATGAGTTGCCATATGCATGTCTAAAGATGTGCGAGTTCTGTGACCAGGAATGCAATTGAAAACTCAGTAATTAGTAGCAATATGTTGCCTTAAATGATATATACAATTAAATTCATGGCAGCATAAATTCTCAGTAGGATTTTGGCCAATAAATTACTTTTCATTAATTTCTTTTGTTACAACTAAGGCATCAGATGGTAACATTATGGCTATAAGATAAAGACAATAACATACACCTGCAATTTCTGTGGTGTACAAGCAGCCTTTTTTAAAGTTACATTTATAGACTACTTAGCCTTGCTATATAGACGTATTTGTGTGCTTAAGCATTAAAATTGTGAGGTTTTTAAAAGCAACTGAAAAATAACTATTTTTAGCCTTATAATTGATAAGCAGAAATTTAACATTCTAAAAATTGCAGCTCTAATGGAGGCCTCAAAACTCAAATGCTAACTCTAATTACTCTGTGAAGGTAACTTGCCCAAACCCTAGTATATATTAAACAGAGTATCTCAGAAAGTGACTGTAATGAAATGAAAAATTAGGAGAGTGCACTGGCAGCCTCTTTGTGTAAGTTCTCCTGTCAGTCTAGGGAAATGATTTATTTATTATTTCTGGGAAGCCTGCTTTATTTAATCCCTTAAGTGAGATTTTGATCCTGTTTGTTCTCTTTATTGTAGGACATCAAAACTCCTTTAACACCCCCTTCCATCCCCAGGTATCTCCCACATGAGCAATCTGGAAGACATCCACACTTCTGCTCTTGCTTATTCTAACCGTGTGTGTCTCTTTTGGAGAATACTGTCCAAAATAATGATGTGCACATAAGTCATCCATCTGCCACCCCAATGAATAAGTGCGTCCATGCTGAAATACCTTGACAGCCCCTGAAAATGAGTGAATAACAACATAATACCTAACTTGGTGGTGTGCTTAAGGAGTTTGGTCTTTGCAAATTTCAGTCCAAATTGATCTGACCTGACTTTGTCAAACTAATCTTTAGATCAAGATCTAATCTGGCTTCAGATTTGCTAATGTTCTGGCCTTCGTAAATCTTAGTTTTAAAAATACCCCACAACCGAAATATGCTTTCAGATATGTATTTAGAAAACCCTTTAAAAAATAAAATATGATTTTAACACAAAATTAATGTGTATATAAAACAAAGGTGCTTCTCTTGGTGGGAGTGAAGGTATGGATCACTTCTACAAAGGAAATCCTTGTGTGGCCCCTCAGCCAAAATTTCTCTCTGGACATCACTTCCACCTAATGCAGAAAAAGTGGACAATCGTTTTCATGTCAAGAATTACATTCTTTCATGATTAATCTGTTGGTGTCCAAGTGCTGACAGAAGCCAACTTTTAATGAGACACCTTTCTACAATCTCTCGCTCTCATTCTCTTTCTGACATTCTCTCTTTTTCTCTCTCTTCCTCTCTCCCTCTTCAATCTCATCTGGTGGATTGCTTGAATGCATTATTATAATTGATCGCTAACAAAGGTGTCTTATAATCATGTTGAGGACCAAGGGCACAGGCGACTCTAGGCTGCAGATTTCCCTCTTATAACCTGGGGGGAGGCTGCACAAGGTCTACAAGATCTCTTCTGTGTGATAGTTAGATGATTGACAGGAAGGGCTGGGTGGTGACAGAGATGGGATGTTATCTTATCTTAGCTCCATCCCAGGTGGAAAGAAACTGAGCAAACTGGAAATAGATGTGAGTGTAAAGAGCCCATATATCAGGCTACATTTAAAATTTTGCACCATCACTGATAAGGAGTGGAGGCCACTTTGTATTTTATCACAAGACATAATTGTTCTGGGGTGGGCAAAATCAGACATACTGTTTCACTTTCTTCCTTAAAAATGAACTAAAATCACCAGTCACTTGCATTGACTAAATGCAATAGGTGCCGGTATTCTTTGCCTGGGGAGGACCTGTCTGCTATGTGGCCATTAAAAGTGAGAATATTTCAGAAAAAAAGAAGCAGGTCATCTGAAATTGTGGTTAAAGAAACCGGAAGTCAAAACCAGAATGTTAAGACATAATTAGAAATGGGCAAGAACTGGAAAAACAACGAATCAGGGTGGTTTGTTGTTCGCAGCCGACCACAAATCAACCCCCCCCCGAACCCTGGAAAAATGAACAGGTTCGCAGTTTTTTGTTTGTTTTTTGTTTGTTTGCAGCTTGGGGAGGAGAACCTAACACCTCCACCACCTCCCTTAGGCACTCCTGTCGCCTCCCTACCTGGTCCTGCCTCCTCCTCCTCCTCCTCTTCCGATGCTGCCTTCAGAGACAGTGTCCCAGCTTCTGGGAGCTGGGCTGGCTGTCTCTGCACATGCACAGATGATAGGAGTGTGCATGCACAGAGACAGGAAGCTGCCTCCCAGAAGGGAAGCCAGGCCACTCTCTCTGAGGATAGCGGCAGAGGAGGAGGAAGAGGAGGAGGCAGGACAATGGGAGGAGGAAGAGGAAGAGGAGGAGGCAGGACCAAAGAGGAAGGTGATGGGAGCAGCAGGGAGGCAGCGGGAGGTTCAACTTTTGCTGAGGCAAAACAAAGTGGTGAATGGAAAAACGTTTGGTGCTTTGTTTCAGCAAAATGGCTTGCACAAACTGAACATGAACCAGCTTGGCTTGTGGGTTTTTTCAGTTTGCCACTCTTAGTGTTTAAAAGAGAATTATTATTTTTTCTCCACCCCAAATGGGAAGTTGCAAATGGTCTTATTTTACCCTAAAAATGAATGACATGACACATGTCACACAATCACCTAGTTTAGATATCCATCTTTATCACCCTTTGTTAGATGAGAGGACATGGTTCATTCGTGGAGCTCTTGCTCTTCATGCAGATATTTCTGCCTTCTATTCAGTCCCTACCTTTTCCAGCAAGGGCTAGAAATAACGCTGCTTAAAGCATAAATATCTAATAAATTGTGTTTTACTTTAGGAACCAGTGAAGAACACTTCCAAGATCCAGAGGAATCTGAGCTACTTGAAGAACACCAGTTTTCAGACTTGGAAGAGTATGATGATGATGATGACAATGATGAAGAGGAGGAGGAAGAGGAGGAGGAAGAGGAGGAGGAGGAAGAGGAGGAGGAGGAGGAGGAAGAGGAGGAAAGCCAAGAGGAACCACTTGTAAAGTCTTCAGAAACAAACAATACGTCCATTCCAGGGCATTCTCCCTCCAACCAAGAGAAAAGAACTAGGGCCATCTTGTCTGTCGTGGAAAGGGTTGTCCCCAGCAGTGAGCATGCTGATCAAAGTCAACAGACTGTCTCCTCCAGGCCAGAAATGAAATGGTCAGCTGATAGCAGTGACGTTGCTGTCTGCCACAGCTTCTTGAGACTCCATCAGCCTATTTTGACCTCCAGCGGGCTGTTAACTTCATCTGAGAAGGAATCAATTGCAAAGCCTCAAATGCTCTTAGCAATGGACTTGTCTGTCTCCAGAGACACTCCTCCTAGAAGGAAGTCCTCCTCAAGCAAAGGTTCTGGAGCTGGTAGTGGGAACAGCAACCAATTAGTATTGGCTAAAAAGCACCTGCTGACCAAAAATGAAACTTCGCTGAAAAGGTTTTCACCCACTAGAGAAACATTGTCCCTGAGGAGCCTCTCTCCAACTCTGGGGAGGCCTTCCTGTCACCAGATGTCTCCAAAGAGAGAGGCTGCTTCTCTACGTAGTCTTAGCCCAAGACTGGAGTTCTCTTCAAGCAGGTACGTGTCTCCTAGGAGGGAGCTATCATCACGCGTGTACCCCCCTCCAGAGAGAGGGGTCTCCTCTGTAAGACATGCTTCTCCAAGCAGGGATGCGTCCTCAACAAGATACTTGTCCTTGAAGAAGATGTTCTCCCAGAGCTATTCAGAGCCACCTTCACGGTATCCATCTCCAGTGAGAGAGGACCTGCCTTCTCGTAGCCAGTCAACAGCAGATGAAATCATTCAGACCTTCTGTAAAACGGAGCATGGAATGTTGTCTTCAGTGCCTCTACCTCATGGGTCCCTCGGCAAAAGCACGGAGCTGTATGAAGAACCCAAATTGGTAAGTCTTTGGTGTTCAAGTGGTGAGTCAAGAAGATGACCATGGAATGTGCCCAACTTAAAGTAGGTTGCCCCAGTGACACTCTTGTTGTTTTATTTTTGTGTGTGTTGAAGAGGTGTCTTTTAAAAACAATCAGGAAAGAAAACAGTAACTAGATGCAACGAGGGACAAAAGTTTGTAAATAACCTTCTAATAACTTTTTAAAAATAACTTTTAGTTATTAAAAAATGAAAATAGCCTTATCCACCAACATCTCTACAAGGAATGGACAAGAAAGTCTAGAGGCCGTTATCCCTCCCCATGCCTATTCCAACAAAACTGAACCTGATTGTTTGTCCCACTGCTAGAGCCTTGTTCCTCACTGTTCTGTATTTATTCTGTCAACTACACATTGTTAGTGCTAACTGCAAAAAGATCTACGTAATATTTTGGCATGGGTTTTTGGTATATTCTGTTCGGCTAGTAAACCTTTTTTTTGGGGGGGTAGCATTTCCACTTGGTCTATTTTGACTTGATTTTGGCTTGCGTGATCACTTGTATCAGTGTTTTGGGGCAGTTATATATATATTTGTATGAATTGTGTTTGTGTTTACAATTTACAATTTACAATTTGTATGTTTGCATATGTGTACAGTGGGCCTCCGGTATCCAGGTTTCCGTTGTCTGCAGTGGGCGCTGCTGCAACCCAGCCTGCAGTGCAGACATGGACTTATGTCCTCCTTTCACTCTTGCCCTGCTTCTCACTCTTTTTAATGGGTTCACTATTATCCATGAGGGGGTAGCTTCAAACTTGTGCCCCATAGATATGGCGGGTCCTACTATCTGTGTATAAATTTGGCATTGCAGTGCTAAATGGATAAACCACTGATTCAAATATTTACTGTTTTGTCTATCTCCATTACTTGCTAGAAATTTTTTTAAACATAATTTGAATTCTGGCAGAAAGGGTGATGATAAGGTCAGGGAAGGAGGGGAGAGGGCTGTATGATGTGTTGACACTTGAGATACTTAAATATTTCTGTGTGAGCGGTGGTCACAATTTAAATGGCACAGTATAGTGTGGAGAAGTTTTTGTCAATCCGGGACAACTTTCTACATGGCCACACACTAAAATAGGTAGTTTAGTTACTTTTAAAGCTAGCTGGATAGCTTACTGGTTTACGTATCTGGCTGCAGAACCAGAGGTAGGGCGTTCGATTCCCTACTGTGTTTCCTGTGAGAAAAGCCAGTCTCAGAGTACCCTCAAAAGAAGGGAGTGGTAAACCACTTCTGAGTATTTTGTACGTAGAAAACCCTGAAAAGAGTCACCATAAGTCAGAATTGACTTGGTATCACATTAT